ACATCTGGTGAAAATTTCATGTCATTAGCACCTCTAGTAATATATTTACTGAGAAAAATGGTGACGTGTTCAATACTTAATTTTACCCGCTGCATAAATGCATAACAGACAACTAAAACAAAAATAACTCAAGCAACCTGACGGTAAGACACAGTTTGTTCCCATTTCCTTCAATTATTTTATAAGGAATACCAAAACTAACATAGTTTGTGTTAAATGATGTTTTATCAACACAAAGCTTTTCAGAGTTGTTAGTTGAAGACTTGATGATGAACTGAAATGCGTCTCAGGTCCTGTGCCAGAATTCATTTCATTTCTGTATCTTATACATGGTATAAGATACAGAAGTATAAGATTGTAGCATGTGGGTGTCAGTGCCGCGGTCCTCCAATCCTGACTGCAGGTTCCAGCCCAGGTTGTATCAGGAGGGTCAAATCTTTAATGTGAGTTCGCTCACTGGGGCAACCCTTAGAGAAGGGAAACAACTGTTTCAGAAAGAAACGACTTTCAGGTACAGTTCATCTGCTGGATACAGGATTTTAGGTCTGACTCTTTATTTGTCCCCTTCTTGTCCACTTTCCTCATTATTTTAAGCACAAACTGCTCAACATGCTGTCATGGTACGGTTTAAGGACTGGACAGGAAATGAACTGCTGAAAGTCCAAACCAAGAACTTTGACAAACCTTCARAAAAACCTCAGAACTATCAATCAAGAGAAGACCATTAAAAAAATACAATCAAGGCTGAATAGAAGCAAAACTAAAAAAGAATCAGGGATGATTTCGAATGTTTCACAGTGTTGTACACAATTCCATTCAAATGAATGTTTTAACATTGAAGGATTTGTTAGAACTGGACTGAGTTTATATTATTGACTCTATGAAGCAAATATTTCACTATTACTCACAAATACAAACGCTGTTTGAAGAATGCAGAGTTCTTACAAATTTAGAGAAAGTTTTATCTTCAAAAAGCCTTAAGTGTTTGCATGAAACCTTTTTTTTCAGTGAAACATTTCCTGCACCAAGGGAATAAATGAAGTTGACATGTTTTAATAAGCTTTATATGAACTTTTTTTAAGGATTAAGTCTACCTTTCATTAAATGAGAGTTTGAAGGCAGCTAAGAAACATTTGTTTAATTTATGGTTAAAGCCAAACACAAGAACAGCTGAGCTGTAATAAAAAGTTCCTGACCCAGTCTAATCACCAAAAACCCAGAGATTTTTGTTTATTTATTAAATGAATGAGAATAAAGGCATTGCAACTCAAAATATATATAMTGTAGCTTTTGATGCTAAGCTAAGTTTCTCTAAAGCTTATTTTAGGACCTACATCCTTTTTACATTTATGTGGAATCAATCTTTTTATCGAAARATTAGCAGGGAAGCAAGTGGGCTCATTTTCCAACAAGTTCTACATTTTGTTTTTACGACTTTCAACTTAAAGTCTTGCAGCTTGTGCTGTGACAACCAGCTGCTAATGATATATAGTCAAACATATTGTTCATTAAACTTGCAGCTTTAAACAAAAGTAGCTGAAAAACAAAACAATGGACTCATTTTAAGCCACTGGGGCTGTTTATTTGCAGCTTCTGTATACGAGACAGAAGCGATGAAGCACCTGCTGGGTTTTGGTTTGAATTGTTGCGATGAGGAAGATGGTGCTGCCACAGATGGAGTCCAGCCTCAGTGTGTGGGTGGACACTTGTGTTTAATATGGTCTCTCTGCATTCACAGAACTCAGCTCTCCTGTCCTCTCTGTGATCCAGACAGACGTGGATGTTCTGTATGTTTGTGTTTGTTTCGTGTGATGAAAACCAGCCTGACCGACTCCTAYATCCTTCTCTTGTCTCCTGACCTGAACTCCACACATCATACACTCCAGTCTTGTAGACAGGGATAACCATTGTCAGAGGAAATATTTGCCCTTTTGAACTTTTTGAATTTGCCTCTCTCTTATTCCCACAACAACAGTTCACTTTATCTACTTCTGCTGACCAGACGACATGGTATCATATCATTACAGTGACTCGCAGGTTTTTATTTCCTGCTTCAGTGTCTGTGCC